TAAGTAAAACACCCATCCCAATAGTGTCTTGGGCAGTGTCCTTTGCCTCAGTTACCTCACCTGCTGGTGTGAACATCCAGTGGACAATGTCCCTTTGACACCTTCATTTCCCTCCCTTCCTCTCTGGTTTGTTGTCAGTGGTTAGTGTTGTCCCAGAGCTCGGGAGTGGACTCAGGCAAGTCCATCTCCAGCGCCTGGGGGGGGGGGGGAAGTGCTGCTCGGCTTCCATGAAGAGCTGCCATGCCACCGTCTCTAGCCACGATGCCATCTTCGCTCTGCTGCCTCTCACCATGCCGCCACTCCCGTCATGTGGCACCACCACCACCTAGCCCAGCTCTTAGTGATCACAGCTCTGGGTAGCGGGTGCCTTGTTACATCACCACTACCTACCACGCTATTTTCAGCTGCAGTGCCAAGTCTGGGTTCAGAGACTCTGCCACCTATCCCATATGTTAGTGATTTCAGCTGCCGGGGGGCGGAATCTCACTGCCGCCACCTCCTCTGTGTCGCCCTTCATCGCAGCACCAGCTCTGCCGGCTATCCCAGCTATTCGCGATCACAGGCCTGGTAGTTTCTGGGTAAGAGCAGAGGAGGAGAGCCCTAGACCACAGGCTAATGACAGATTACACAGAAGAATGATATCACCAGATAAGAGCATGTGTAAGGAGAGATATAAGTATCATGGAAAGGAAAGTGCCTTAACTTATCTCCTATGGCTACACACACTGGAAATTCCTAGATCTTGACACACTCATCAACGTTGTCACAGTTTCTTAGCTGGTGTGCCCATTCAGTGCTGTGTGCAGTTGGCCCACGGGGCACCGGCAGGCACACTGCAAGGCAGGAATCAGAGTGAGCTCAGCATGATCAACGGGCTTTCATTTTTCACGTCTAAAATAAATGTGATAGTGATCCCACGTGCAAGTGGCTCCTGGCTACCTGTAGCAGAACATCTAGAAACCCTACTTGGAATGGAATTCTGTGCTAGTTTTACATCCTCCGATTCCTATCATGGACCATCACTGGGAACTTTGCAACCATCTGGAGCTGAAAGATGTGACCAAGGGTCACTGGCAATGTTTAAATCCAGATTTGGCCTTGGAATCTGTGAATACCATATCACTTCAACCACACCATCAGAGGCTTGGTCACCTGCACATCTACCAATGTGATATATGCCATCATGTGCCAGCAATGCCCCTCTGCCATGTACATTGGCCAAACCGGACAGTCTCTACGCAAAAGAATAAATGGACACAAATCAGACGTCAAGAATTATAACATTCAAAAACCAGTCAGAGAACACTTCAACATCCCTGGACACTCAATTACAGACCTAAAAGTCGCAATACTCCAACAAAAAAACTTCAAAAACAGACTCCAACGAGAAACTGCAGAATTGGAATTAATTTGCAAACTGGACACCATTAAATTAGGCTTGAATAAAGACAGGGAGTGGATGGGTCATTACACAAAGTAAAACTATTTCCCCATGCTAATTTTTTCCCTACTGTTACTCACACCTTCTTGTCAACTGTTGGAAATAGGCCATCCTGATTATCACTACAAAAGTTTTTTTTCTCCTGCTGATAATAGCCCACCTTAATTGATTAGTCTCGTTAGAGTTGGTATGGCAACCCCCATTTCTTCATGTTCTCTGTGTATATATATATCTTCCTACTGTATTTTCCACTGCATGCATCCGATGAAGTGGGTTTTAGCCCACGAAAGCTTATGCCCAAATAAATTTATTAGTCTCTAAGGTGCCACAAGTACTCCTCATTCTTTTTGCTGATACAGACTAACACGGCTACCACTCTGAAACAAGTAATTTAGTTACAGTGACATACATAATGCAATTGCCTGCCATTACACTATAATAGGGATAGATAAGAAACAATACAAGTATCATTCATTAGTATTCACGAAGTGCTAACTCCTGACTATACACACACTTTTGATCTAGGGTTATTTAATTACAGGGACATACATAATGTAATGCGATAGCAATCAACGGGTTTATAGATAAGTCAAGACAATGCCATTAACATTTCCTTTGAACTAAACTAACACAAGTGAATTGATCCACCCATACAAATACACTTAACATTACTTTGCTGTTCACACACAAGTGAAATGGCCTAGGGGTCCAAGCTGAACTGGTCTGTCAGCCTCACACTCCTGTCGTGTCTTCTCTCTCTCATTTGCCACCTCTGCACCTTCCAGCTGGGATACTCAAATTGGCATGTATTTCTGGGCTTTGTTGCTTCTTGCCCTGGGGGTGAAAGATTTTCTTCATACACAGATTTTCCACTGCTTCGGAAATGCTGCCCACCTGGAACCTCTGGGGAGGGAGGTGGATTCGACAAACAATGGTGAAGTTTGGGCCAAACCAGCTGGTGGAGCCAGAGCAGAGATTCTGTCTCTGGCTGCGTGAAGCTCTGTTCAGAGGGAGCATGAAGGCAGGCACCCAAGATACTTAACAGCCTCATGATTTGAGTTGCAGATTTGCAAAGGGTCAGATTTGTGGGGTTCAGACAAGGGACAGACACCGTCGATCCTGCCGCCGCTGTTTGGGCAGCAACATCTGCATATTCATGCTGCTCTTGTGCTAATACATCCAGAAGCCTCATAACTCTCCCCCACCCCTCAATGAACGGGAGGATACAGGAACAGCAATAGGCAAAGATGGCCAGAGTGCCCCCCGTCCCATGAGCTGCAACCTCTAATGTGACCCCTGCAAAACGCATTAGCAAGGCTGAAAGCTTAATACTGAGGGTCCACCAAAATGCAGGTACCACAGAAAATTAGTATTTGCCGCTCTGCGTATCTGCGGCACTGCTCCGGGTGTCTGTGGCACTTTCTTCCTTTACTCAGAATAGAGGACACTGCAGTACTTCGATGTCTATGGAGTGGCAAATACTGAGACGTAATAACTCACGCTGTGTTTTCGACCCTGAAAGACAAGACGGTTGGATTGTCCAGTCTGCTAAGGCTACTTTGCGCTAAATTACACACAAACTAGGATGTAGTGGAGAACCGAGCCACACTCGTGAAACTGCGATCCCTGAAAGAGCAACCTCAATATTTTTTTAAGTGTAACATAAGATAAACAAAGGACCAGGTGCGTGCCTGGTGTGACTCTGCTGGCTTCAGTAGTTACCCAGAGATGAATTTGACAGTGTTTCAGATTTTTGGTGACCTGTCTCTCCTTATCACCACTTGTTATGTCATTTGAGCGTTTTTGTTGTTTTAGATAGAAGTGATTTCCTGACCGGATGTTTCCTAGCTCTCAGAGGAGCTCTGTCGTTAACTCTCTAGTTATACAGCTTTTTGAGGAGACACGACATAGGTGAATAACTGGATATAGAACATATTCCCTGCCCAAAAGAGCTGCCAACATAAAGGAGAAACGGCTCAATACAGTTGTTTGAACAAACTGAGAATGGTCTCTAGGGAGGCATTTAAAAGCAAACTGCTGAGACCCTGCTAACAATTAAAAATATTGTTATTAGATTCCAAAAGAGAAACAAAGGGCCTGATTCTCCGCTCACCTATTCCAGTTTGAAACCAGAGCAATTCCTTTCCCTTCAGTGGAGCTACTCCTGATTCACACGGTTTAAGTGACAGCAGAATCAGATCCTCCGTCTACACTACGATTTCGTTGTTATTCTAAAATGGATTTAGCACAGTATTTTAACACAATTTCAGATGCCTAGCTCAGTTTGTATTGAGCAGTGGTGGGCTGAATTCATGAATTCCTCCAAACTCTGTGAAGATTTGGATCTAGTATTCAAACTCAGATCCATTTTATATAGACAGATCCAAGCCAAGAAGTCTGTGGATTCGAATTTTCTCAAAGATTGAAGGTTTTCAGATCTGGTGCCCCAGTGGAGCTGTCTCTCTCTCTCTCTCTCTCTTTCTCTCGCTCTCTCTTTTTAAGGGACACTTATTCCATCCTTGCATAATTCAAACACAGCCCAAGTGGACTGTGTGGAAACCTACCCCCAAATCATTCATCTTTGGGCTGAGACTAGGTATGAGAAATTTCAGCCACAACAAAAAATATTTGAAAAAAAGTTACAAAAGATTTTTTTTAAAAGGGATTTATTTAAATCTGGAATATCCCTTTCATCTGGTCTTTATCATGGTAGACATGTCACTTTCTTGGGAAGAGACTCAGACAATCTGCAACTCAGATTTTTCAAGCTCTGAAGAAGGTATCTCAAACTTCATTAAGATACAGGGATAACTGTATTTTTTATTTAACAACTATATATTTCCCCCCCTCTTTTTAGACTCCAAACATTTGGGGCAGGGACCATGTATTCATGTCTTTGTAGAGCCTTGTCACGGTGGGGCCCGGTTCTTATTGGGGCTGCTGGATATTTATGAAATATAAATATTATACAACAGTAACACACCCAAATTTAGAGGGGGGATCTTTTTTGTAAAAAATCACCTAATAAACCTCAGTACAAAATGTAAAATATCATGTTTCCTTTATACCTTCTTTCCATTCTATACTAGTCAAAGGGAAGGTTTGTTGAAGGTTCATTAGATCAAACCCAGGATAATAACCTGTCAGTTGGCTGATCTGTTCCTGGCAAGAACTTTCGCTGAAGTACGGAAGGAGAAACACCCCTTGGCCCATTCCACTCTTATACAAATAGATTCTATATAAAGCCCAGCTCCTCAGGGAGAAGGCAGCATCTCTGGGTTTGCATTTAACGTGCAGCAGAAATGGACTCCAAAGATAGCACCAAGCCCACCATGCCTGCAGAGCCACCTGTGAGTGATGCTGATCTATCTTTGCGTTACATTGGATTGCGATTTGTGTGCTGAGGGTGTGCCTGCATGCCCACCCTTGACCTTGCTGGAGAGGAGGGCTGAGTGAGTGCTGTCCGCAAATAAGAAAATGAATGTCAGTGAATGCATGAGCTCGATTTGAAGAAGGCATCTGTGTGAGTGAATCTGTATGTTTTATATGACATTAAACCATTGGAACAGCTTATCAAGGGATGTGCTAGATATTTGGAGTCTTTAAATCAAGACAGGATGTATATTTTATCCCTCATCCTGATTACGAGCTCCACACCAGTGTCTATAGATTGGTCAATGGCCATTAGAAGTCCGTGTTTCCCTTGCTGTGGAGCAGCTGTTAACATCAGGTCATTGGCAGTTAGTGTCTATAATCAGAATGTAATGTGTGTTTGCCCCAGGCATACAGGTTTATGCCTGCAGTGCCCAGGAACCGGAAGGAGATCATCCTCATCTCCGTGGTGGTGGTCCTCTTGGCCATTATCATCATTGGAGCCGTTCTGATTGGAGTTTACATGACTCAGAAACACACTGAAAAGGTGAGTAGAGCAGGTAATGGAAGGCAGGTGCCATTAATCTGGTCTGTGGGATAAGCCTGACTGGGAGAAGGCCGGCTTCCTTCAGCAGCCTGCGGAATTATCAGCCACGCCACATTAATCTTTACATCTTGATTCTGGGTGTTTTATGCTTCGTTGTGTAGGGATCTTCTGCCATGTAAGATCTCATGCTGACATAGGGTCCATTAACAACTCCAGCTTTACTGTGGCTGCTGATACCCTGGCTTCTGCAGCCTCATGGCTTCTCAGACAGCTCCCCAAGAGGGGTTACTTCCACACAGTTCCCCGTAGGAAACAGAAAGTGTCTGTTGCTATTGTGACACTGGGCTCCATTGATTGTCCAAAGGACCAAACTCACAAAAGGAAAATCCAGATTTCCAGCTGGGGCTTGCTACCCAGCCACACTGCCAGGGCTTCCCACCTGGAGCCACCCTTCTCCAGGGACCACTGCAGGAGACTCTCAGTCCCTCTCAGCTGAGTCACTTGCTGGCTTTTATAATTCCTTACTCCCTTTCCAGCTGGTAATAGACCAGGGCTGGCTGGCCTCTGGCCCTTAAAGGAGCAAGCCACCCTCTTAAACTCATACACACAGTTATGCTCATGTTCCCAAATGCTGACTATGTGTCAGCATTCCAATCTGGCTTTGTTGGAAGAGAAAAGCCTAAAGGTCAGTGATGCCTATTGCTGTTTTACTTGGATCTTCTGTGCAATTCACCCCTCTCAGGCTTTGCCCAGCTGGTAAATGTCAGCCAGCAGCCTGTGACGGAGGCCGTATCACCAAGGGACACTGTCACAGCCAGTTGACTGGTCTTTTATCTTCCAACTGTTTGTTTACAGAGTCCCTGTCCATGCAAACAGCCTCAGAGGCAGCAGAGTCCAATGAAAACATTTTACCATGTGTGATGTGTCTCCTACAGATCATCCAAATCACCAGCAGTGGAAGCAATGGGGAAGTGACTGAACAGACGATGATGGTGAGCAGCCAGGAGAACGTGGCTGCCTTTCACATCGAGGGCAACACAACCTCAGCGACTGTCGTGTATGACTATAAACACGTGAGTCCCACAGATGTTCCAGGCTGACTTGAAAGAGTAAACGGGATCTCAGAGCACTAGGTGTGAAAATTGTTCCTACGAGACTGGTGTGTGAACCCTTAGAAATACCTGGCACATGAGGCAGGTCAGGACAGAAAACACAACAAGAGCTTACACGATGTGATGCTTTCTCCATAGTGGCGAGATCACGTATTGGCTACATCTACACTAGGAGGTAGGGCTCAGATAGGGTGACCAGATGTCCCGATTTTATAGGGACAGTCCCGATTTTTGGGTCTTTTTCTTATATAGGCTCCTATTACCCCCCACCCCCGTCCCGATTTTTCACGTTTGCTGTCTGGTCACCCTAGGCTCAGATTCCCAGTTCACAAACACATACTCACACTAGTTCCACAAGTATAACTAGTACCGCTGGTAGCACTGGCAGTGGTGTCACAAAGCCACCTTTGTAGGTACATACTTGCGCTGGCTAAGCTGTGCTGCCGCTGCCCGTGCTCCTGCAAGTATGTTATTATTTATATTTGTGCTAGCGCTCATCAAGCTAGACTGAGTATGTTTATGCAAGCTGGGAACTACACTCCAGACGGTCTGGATGGTGTAATTTCCTTCCTTTCCTCAAGCCTTGCTCACAGTAGTAAGGGCCCATTTACCCTTTCAGTTAAAGTCCATGGACCTGGGGTGAGACCATCACTGGCAACAGGCAAATTTTACAATCATCACTGACTGCAGAACATGCCCCTTTAGTTAGTGACATTAAATACTGCATTTAAAGGCAATAGACAGCCTCCCTTAGTCTGTCCATTAACTGAGCTCTGTGTTTCTCCACTATGGGCAGTCATAGAATCATAGAAGAATAGGATTGGAAGAGAGCTCAGGAGGTCATCTAGTCCAACCCCTTGCTCAAAGCAGGACCAACCCCAACTAAATCATCCCAGCCAGGGCTTTGGCAAGCCGGGCCTTAAAAACCTCTAAGGATGGAGATTCCACCACCTCCCTAGGTAACCCATTCCAGTGCTTCACCACCCTGCT